TACGATGAGCTGTAAAAGGCTCAAGTCAATAACTTCTGAGGATAACCCACTAATATTATAGACTGCTAGACAGTGTTAGATTGTTTAGTTGAATTCAAACACCTATAGTATTTAGATGCCAATAGAATATTCACCTCTGAAAGGACACAAAAAATTTAAATTTTAAAAAAAGATACAAAGGAAAGATCATTTTGTATTTATAAATACAAAATAGTTAGGATAAATTTACAGCTATCTTCGCTTAACTCAATGAGAAGAAAGAGGTGTACTAACAGTGTTTAGGCCCCTTCCGCATTCCCAACAGAGACCAGCAGGCTTTCATGCCAGATAAGACGAAGTAGAAGCTGATGGAGAACTGAAGAACAGCGGCTGAGTGCAGCAGCCAGTGACACACTTCCTGTGGGAAACACCACCCCTACAGCAGCAGTACTTCCCTTGGAATTTGAAGTTCACAGAAACTTTAGAGATGGGCAGCAGCAAGCCCCTTGCCATCGCAGACAGTGACAAGAGGAGGAAGAAGAAGCGGAAGGCCCGGGCCACTGACTCCTTGCCAGGAAGGTTTGAAGATATGTACAAGTTGACCTCTGAGTTGCTGGGAGAGGGAGCCTATGCCAAAGTTCAAGGCACTGTGAGCCTGCAGACGGGCAAAGAGTATGCTGTCAAAATCATAGAAAAACAAGCAGGGCACAGTCGGAGTCGGGTATTCTGAGAGGTAGAGACGCTTTATCAGTGTCAAGGAAACAAGAACATTTTGGAGCTGATTGAATTCTTTGAAGATGACACAAGGTTTTACTTGGTCTTTGAGAAATTGCAAGGAGGTACTTCCTGCTCCATCCTAGCCCACATCCAGAGACAGAAGCATTTCAACGAACGAGAAGCCAGCCGAGTGGTGCGAGATGTTGCTGCTGCTCTCGACTTCCTGCATACCAAGGGCATTGCTCACCGTGATCTGAAGCCTGAAAATGTATTGTGTGAATCTCCAAAAAAGGTGTCCCCAGTGAAGATCTGTGACTTTGACCTGGGCAGTGGGATGAAACTCAACAGCTCCTGCATGCCCATAACCACACCAGAGCTGACCACTCCATGCGGCTCTGCAGAGTACATGGCCCCAGAGGTGGTAGAGGTCTTCAGGGATGAGGCCACGTTCTACGACAAGCGCTGTGACCTGTGGAGCCTGGGTGTGGTCCTCTACATCATGCTGAGCAGCTACCCACCCTTTGTGGGTCACTGCGGGGCTGACTGTGGCTGGGACCGGGGAGAGGTGTGCAGAGTGTGTCAGAACAAGCTGTTTGAGAGCATCCAGGAAGGCAAGTATGAGTTTCCTGACAGGGACTGGGCTCACATCTCCAAGGAAGCCAAAGACCTCATCTCCAAGCTCCTGGTTCGAGATGTGAAGCAGAGACTCAGTGCTGCCCAGGTTCTGCAGCACCCTTGGGTGCAGGGGCAAGCTCCAGAAAGGGGACTCCCCACGCCGCAGGTCCTACAGAGGAACAGCAGCACCATGGATCTGACACTCTTTGCGGCTGAAGCCATCGCTCTTAACCACCAGTTGTCTCAGCATGAGGAGAACGAACTGGCCCAGGAACCAGAGACGCTGGCTGAGAGCCTCTGCTCTGTGAAGCTTTCTCCACCCTCTAAGTCTCGCCTGGCCCGCTGGTGGGCCCTGACCTAGGCGGGCCGCTGTGGAGAGGAAGGCCACCCCTGACTGCTGCAGAACTCTGAGCTGCTCCAGTCACGTGTTCGGGCCTAGACCCATCGGGGCCTTGCCCCCTAGAAACCTGTGAGACCAGAGTCTGAGGAGCAGGCTGAGGAGCCTTCTCTCTGGCTTCAGTCAAGCCTTCTCCATCCACAAAGGCCAGGTAGTTCCCATCCAACCCCCATTTCCCCAGGGTCCTTGGAGGAAAAAGCTTTTTCCGAAGGGGTTGTCTTTGAAAAGGAAAGCAATCACTTGTCACTTTGCATAATCGCCTGCAGCAGGGGCATCTTTTTCTGGGACTCCACCTGCTCACCTGCCTGCGGATCCCCAGCCGGCTGCTCTGGAAGTGGCAGCTGGGACCACAGCCTTCAGGGAGCCACCTTCAGGAAGCAGAACTGTGGGCTGACAGTGGCTGCAGACACACGTGCCTCCCCGCTGCACTGCCGCCCTCCCCCAGCAGTCCTTCTACCTTCCTCTGTCCTCTGGACGTCCTCCTTGCCTGTGCACTCCCTTCTGAGCAGAGCCATCCCCTCAATTCAGGAAGGGCAAGGGGCCTTCTCCTGCAGGAGGCCAGATCAGCCTTCCCGTCTGCACGAGAGGAGCACATAATCTTTCTTTGCCTCGACCATGATGTGTTCCTCATTTATCATCCTCTCCGTTCTTTGTGATTGCTGCTAAACTCCGTATTACTTTGGTTTTTAAAATGTTTTTAACGTGCTCGTTCAGACATGGAATTTTAAGCTCCCCCGTTAAGCCCATGGACTTTCTTAGGCAGGATGTCCTTGTGCTTGGTTTTTAATGAGCTCTCCCTACACTCCTAACTAATTTTTAAGCTGTTACTCTGATGAGCACCTTAGAGACTGTCAGTGTCTGTTACTGCTGTGTCCCCCAGGGCTTGTACCGAGGGTGGCACAGATGTGAGGCAGTTAGATGGAACTTGGTGCCTGAGACAGAGCTGATCAGAGGCAGCCCCACTGCCTTAGTCTTAGCAACTCACTGCCCACTGTCTGGGAGCAAGAAGGGGCAGACATTTGCACATGAACTATCGAGTTACATAAAGAAAATAGATTGCATATGTCAGACAGATGTGCGTTCAGCTCAGCCACTTCAGTGCTGTCATACAGTGTGCTTGTTTAATAAAACTTTTCGATTTAAAAAAAAAACAAACAGTGTTTGGACAGAATATCCTGTCTGCTCCTTGTACTATGGATAACCACTAAGAAGATAATGTACAGTGTATTGACTATCAAAACTGTCCTATTAATCAGCTGTGAAACTGTCTCATTCATATTTATTTCTCAATAAAAAATAAATATATAAAAAATAAATAAATAAAATGTTCCACATCATTGATCATTCTGGAAATGAAAATTAAAACAATTATGAGATCCATTTCACCCCAGAAAAAAAGGCTATCGTGAAGAAGTTCATCAATAACAAATGTTAGCAGGGCCATGGGGAAGCAGGAAGTCTTCTCCACCGTTGCTGAGAGTGTAGACTGGTGTGGAGATTCTATAAAAACTTGGACTGCAGATTCCATTTAGTCCATCTATTCCCCTTCTTGATATTTTGCCCAAAGAATTAAAAGCTTCATACCACAGTAATACATGCACGCCCATATTTATAGCAGCAGTTTGTAATAGCTACATCTTGGAAACAGCCCAAATGCCCATCAATAGATAAGTGGATAAAGAAGATATAGGGTTTAAAAAAAAACTATGAAGTACTACTCTGCCATAAAGGATAATCTTGTGACATTTCTAGCTAAATGGATGTTCCCTAAGACTATTCTTAAGTGAAATAAACTGGACACACATACAAAAACTGCATTGTTTCTCTGGCATGAAAAATAAGGACCAAAATATATTACAGACACTGTCAAATAGAAAGGAAATGTTCAAATAGGAAAGGGAACTAGGGAGGGAGAGAGAGAAATTAAGAGAAAAGAAAGAAATGATGAGAAAATAAGAAAAAAAAGGAAACAAAGCTTTTGTAAATGAGGGGAAGAGGTGTTGAAGGGAAGGTAGGGGAATATAAAAATAAAAAGAATCAAGTTATTTCATGTACAGGTACAATTCCTTATAATTAATGTGATCATTATGTATCCCTAAAATGTACAAATAAGCTCAATTTTTAAAAAGCATTCTGTTTTCTAAGGATTGGTGACCAGGTAATTGTGAAGGAGATAACTGAGCCAATAGGCTGGTGTAGGCAGTGCAGAGTGAAGAGAAAATAGGAAACAAGATTCTGTGTATGAGTGTGGCACCTCTAGACCCAGGTTATGTCACTTTTACAGATGACCAGACACCTCTAGCTATAGATTGAATCATCACACAAGTGCCTCTTAGAAAACAGAAGGGCTTTATGATGCAATCTGGTGGCCTGGTTCTGTTCTTTATGAGGTACCCATGACAAGGCCTGGTTATTGGAGTCATCAGTCATCAGAACCTTGAATGCCTACATATAGGGATGGCTGGTCTCCTCATGCTGATGAGGTTTAGACCATGTTGAGCCCTACATTTGTTGTTGAGAATATTGGATACTCTTTCTATACCTATGGCTCCATCTTCATCATTTTCCTGCTTATATGGCAAGTGAAACGGAGTTACTATGGATTGAGAAGTGAACCTAAAAGGAACTGCTGCCGGGTAGGGAAACACCATGTCCACAACAAAATTAGTTTAAGCCGCAGATAAGCTTTTAAATTTTCAGTGTTTCTCCCACCCACCCCATTTCTACCACACTTTCCTTTACCTCTGTATATTAATCTAGTTAAAAAGTCAAGAACTTCTTTATTTGGTTTGGATTAAAAACAAAATGAGACAAAGTATAGTCTAGAGCTCTCACAAGACCTCCTAATATAGGCGATTTTCTGGGTGGATTTCATAAGCAAAAGTCATTGGGTTGATAGAAACACTCATTCTTTAATCTGTTCTACAGTTTCACCTGTACCATCCCAAGCTCCCTGTATAACCTGTAATGAGGATGTAATGTTATAGGAAGATAAAGAATAGAGAGCCTCAGAAATAGGCACAGACATGCCAGCCCCATCGAAACTGGGCGTGGTGGCACATGACTATGATCCCAGCGCTGGGCAGGCTGAGACAGGAGGCTCAATATGAGTCTGAACTGTGTAGTGAAATTCTCTACCAAATAAACAAATAAATAAAACATTTTTTAAAAAAGAAATAGGCAGGGCCGGGGAGATGGCTCAATGGAATAAGTGCTTCCCTGGTAAGTGCAAGGGCCTGAGTTCAATCCCCAGTTCTGCCAAAAAAACAAACAAAAAAGAAAGAAAGAAAGAAAGAAAGAAAGAAAGAAAGAAAGAAAGAAAGAAAGAAAGAAAGAAAGAAAGAAAGAAAGAGGCATAACGGAAATACTGGGATGAAAAGTGGAATGTAGGGGGCCGGGGAGATGGCTCAGTGGAATAAGCATTTCCCTGGCAAGCACAAGGGCCTGAGTTCAATCCCTGGTTCTGCCAAAAAAAAAAAAAGTGGAATGTAGGTAAAGGAAATATAGGAGAGTATATAAAATGCAGACAGATAGAAAGTGGGGGGTCGTGCTGGTGTATACCTGTAATCCCAGCACTGGGGAGGCTGAAAACAAGGGGATCACTACAAGTCCAAGCTGCATAGTGAGACCCTGCATTAAAAAAAAATACTTTTAAAAAATGAAAGGGAATGGGAAACATGTGTTAACCTTGTCTCATTTTGAAGGTGAAAAACAAAAATGACACCCCAGCTTCACATTGTTTTAAGTGTCACCGAAAAGTCAGGCAAAGGGCAAGAGATGCAGCAACAAAAGGTAATGTTTCAATTTTCTTCTTATTCCCTTCCACTGTAGTTGAGCTTGCCATTTTTCATGTCCCTCTGGAACCCTTAGTGCCAAGATAACCAGGAGCCAGAGTTCCAGTTCTTCAAATGGATGGAGGACTTGGGTGGATAGAAAATCAGAATGTGGGAACCTTCAGAATCTCTACCTTATTTTCCTAAGATTAAAGAATTGGGGAAGTAAGAAAGATGACACTTAACTGTGTCATTTGATAGTTTTATGACCCTTTATCTTTTAGTTTTATCCATAAAATAGTTATAACATTGAGGATCTCCCTTTACTTTGTAGTCATGAAGATCAAATAAAGTTGGTAAGGGACATCATACTGTAAATGGTAACATACAGAAACATGCCTTAAAGCACTGACTGAGTTTTTAGTCTTACTAGAAAGGGTCTTATTATTTAGCTTCCTACAGGATACCCCTAAAACACTCCTGTAATATATTACACATTGTCCTGTTTCCCCAAACAGCTAGAAGATGTTCCCAGAAAGAAACAGAGAAGCTGTGGGATCTGCTCTCTGTCATGAAAAGGTGATCTCTCTCTCTCTCTCTCTCTCTCTCTCTCTGTCTCACTCGCTCACTCTGTCTCTCTTGCTTGCTCACTCTCTCTCGCTTACTCTCTGTCTCTCTGTCTCTCTCTCTCTCTGTTTCTCTCTGTCTCTCTCTCTCTCTCTCTCTCTCTCTCTCTCTTTCTCTCTCTCTCTCTGTCTCTCTTTCTGGCCCTCTATCTCTCTCTTGTTCGCTCTCTGTCTCTCTTTGTCTCTCTCTCTGTCTCTGTCTCTGTCTCTCTCTCTCTGACCCTCTGTCTCTCTATCTCTCATTCACTCTCTCTCTCTGTCTCTGTCTGTCTCTCTGTCTGTCTCTCTGTCTCTCTCTGTCTCTATCTTTCTGGCCCTCTGTCTTTCTCTCTCTCTCTCTCTCTCTCTCTCTCTCTCGCTCTCGCTCTCGCTCTCGCTCTCGCTCTCTTGTACTCTCTCTGTCTCTTTCTCTCTTTCTGTCTCTCTGTCTGTCTCTCTCTATTTCTCTCTCGCTCGCTTGCTCTCTATCTCTGTCTCCCTTGCTTGCTCACTCTCTGTCTCTCTGTTCTGTGTGTGTGTTCTCTTTCTCTCATTCTCTCTGTCTGTCTCTCATTCTCTCTGTCTCTCTCTCATTCTCCCTCTCTCTCTCATTCTCTCTGTCTCTCTCTCATTCTCTCTCTCTCCTCTCTCTCTCTCTCTGTCTCTGTCTCTCTCTGACTCTGTCTCTCTCTGTCTCTGTCTACCTGTCTCTGTCTCTGTCTCTGTGTCTGTCAGTCAGTCGGTCAGTCGGTCTCTGTCTGTCTGTCTGTCTGTCTATCTGTCTTTGGAGTCTCCCAACTCCCAGGCTGGCCTGTTAGGATTTCTTGACCTAGCTGGCCTGGCCTGGTCTAAGAAAAAGAAGGTAATGGCTGGGAGGGAGACATACACTGTAGAGGCTGATTCACTGACTAAGAAAGGTGCCAGGGCCCATGGGGTTCAGAGATCTCAAAAGGCAAAAGTCATTCAATTCTATCATTTGCTGAGGTCACTGCAGTTCTGCAGTTCACAATTTGATTGATGTACAAGTCATAAAAAATGCTACTGGATTTTCACTCAGCCATGAGACATGTTATCCAGTCAAGGTAATGGATTTTACATAAAGAAATAATTACTGTCATATTTTCTTTAGGCTATCGTCTTTTAAGGGCAGATTCCCAGGTCCACCTGGGCCCTGCTCACATTACTTGATCTGGTCTGTTTCCAAGGAGGCAAGTTCCTGGGAAAACATTTATACAGAAGCCTACTGTCTTAAAATTTCTAGAAAACAAGACTGATTTACAACAGATTCTAGGTATAGCAGCACAGAGATCCCATAGTTCTCACAATGCAAAGTTCTCATGAAGACTTCATTTTCTACAGTGTAAATTCAGGATTTATAGGACTTGGGATAGGCAGTAGCAACACCTATAATGCATTCTGCCAAAGAGGTAGATGTTCCTAGTCATTAACAGTTGCCACATTTCCCTTCCCAGCCAGCACTGGCTTCCCCAGCAGGAAAGTGTACGGCAGCTTCTGTGTGCAGATCCTTCCTGCCAAACTTGCAATGTTATGTCTCTGGAGATCCAGCAAATGCTGGAGAACAAGAAGAATCAAATTTCCCCAACTCTATCAGGGCCATTGCAGGGCTCTTCTGGCCTATGGGTGATGTCTTCGTCAACTGTGTCTTCTGAGAAGAATCAGGAACCTCATCCTCAGCATTCCAGAGACCTTTCACTAATATCCACAACCCCAACAATATCACAACCAACAGAACAAAGCTTATGCGAGACAATAGCCCAGACAACCACCACCATCAGCATCCAAGAATACTTTGCCGATCATCTCCAACTAGAACAGGAATTTCAACTGGCAACTATGCCCATTGCTCAAAAGAATAGGGATTTTTCAAAGATTGAGAGACCCATAGTTCCAGTAAATGAGCAAGAGACAAAGCAGAATAAACCTAACCTTATGCAGGGGGAGGAGAGCCAGCACTATGTGAAGTGCCATGTCTCTTTACCATTACTGGATGCAGAATTCCTGGATAACATGACACATCCTATGACCTTGCATGTGGACTCAGTCCTCCCTGCCCAGTTGCCATTCTTCAGGCCTAAAGTTTTGAGGCTACTTGAAGGACATTTAAAAAAAAGAAAGCATTTCCAGAGGTGGGGTCTCCCCAGACGTGTGGAGGACTCACTGAGGCAGTTTATGCCAGACCCAATATTGTTGAGCAAAGTTGGAAAAAAACTACAACTGTCCTCCATTCTGAATAGGACTTCCCAGGTCACTTGTGACAAAATTGGGATCTCTGTCCAACAGACATGGGATCCATATGTACACAGAGACTCCATTCAGTCTATCTGGGTTTCTGAGTGGTCTCTTATAAAACCAGAAGAAAGACACTATTACCAGGAAGTTCAAAACTATTTCACATCAGCCTTGCCCTCCCTACCTGCTGAAGTCTTCAGTGGCCTCTGTCTACCTCTTGAGGGACAGGCTAATGACTCAGGAAACAATCTGCACCAGAAATACAGGCAGCTATTCTGTGGCCTACCCTCTCTGCACAGTGAGTCACTGGCTACTACTTTGTTGAGCTCTGAAGGCCTCTCCAAGAACAAGAACGTGTCCAGGCCCCCACTGAAAGAGTCTCTTCTATTCAAGAGACTCTCTTCCCACCCCTTGCTGCCCAGAACACCACCTGAGATAAACTGGCCCTCCTCTCCTCTGTCACCAAATTGTGTGGCTCTAGCTGAAGATCAACAGGCTCATATCAGTGTCCCATTTCTGACTCCAGCTGAATGTAAAACCTTGGAATGGCACCTGCTGCAGAGGCAGCTCCAGTTTCAGTGGGGCCTGCCAACGGCCAGGCAGAGAAGTCGCCATGCCCACAGCCCCATACAGTCTGAGCCATGTGACAAAGCCCAGGCTCCTCAGACTATGAAAACATCCTGGCCAGAGAAACCTGTCTCAGGCTCCACCAGGAAACGACACATCTTCCCAGAGCATGCCCACAGGCTGCTGGAATTTCACTTCCAGAAGCAATTGATTCACCTTCGCTGGGGCCTACCTGAGAAGATCCAGCAGTCCCTCCAGCTGTTCCTTGCCTCTGCTGACCAGCAGACCCTGTCCTGTAACAGCACAATCTTATCCAATGTGAGAATCCCCCAAACTATGACCCTAAAGGGCAAGGGTGATGGTGATTCATTCTTGCCCATCCTGGCCCAGATGTCAATCCCCATGCCACACTTATTCACCCAGGCCAAGGCCAAACTGCACAGCCACATTGACTCCAAATGTGGACAGATCCACCAAGGCAAGGTCCCTTTCCATTCATATAGCTCCTGGGAAGGCATAGTTTCTGGCGACCTAGCAGTGGCTCCCTTCCCCTGCAGTCCACAGGGTCAGCCCCTGGAGCTGCAGGCAGCAAGTGACACCAAGCTCCATGACGAAGTTGTGTCCTGGACACCAATGGCCCTGGATCAGCAAAAACAGGCCTCACCAGACACTGTCACTGACCACCCTAAGCTGCACAGAGCCCTGTCTCAAGGAGTCGTTGAGAAACTGGAGATGACCGTAAGGCACAAGTATCTCACCTTCCTGTCAGGACTGCCTACTCTTTACTCTTCGGCCCTTTCTGAAGGGATGGCTCCAGCAATCACTAGCCACTCTACAGCTGTGGAGATGGTGCCAGGGCCTATGACAACCCCAAAGGAGCCTCTGACTCAAACTATCTCACCGGAAGACCCAAGCAGGAGGTTTGGGCCATCCTTTCAAAATGACAGTGAGACTCAGGCAGACAAGGCACATTTGCAACCTGAGGTGCAGGTGGAAGGAGCGACAGAGTCCGTGCCTCTGGTCAGCCAGACACATATTGCTATTCCCTACCTATCCAAGACACGTATCTTCTCCAAGCTAAACTTTCACCTGAGAAAAAAGGTCCTAGAAATAAAATTGGGACTTCCCATGCGGGCGAGGGAGTCCAGGAAACTAACTATAGCTGGCCCAGAGAACAAGTCCTCACAGGCACCTCCTACTAGTCTAAACAACCCAGGAAGCACAGTGCTTCCAAAACTGCCCATCCTGCCAGATGCATGTCCTGCCCCAGATTCAGAGTGGGTCCACCTTACAGAGCACCTGGCCTCACAGCTGGAGACAGTGCAGCACAGCCAAAAGCCACCTAGCTCCAAAGCATTGTCCCTCGCTTCGACCCACTGGTCGTCCAAGATCTCACAGCTCAGCAGGGCCCAGGTGCTTTGTGTTCAGATGGAGGCCAGTGTGAACAACCCCAGCCTGTGGGAGCCCTGGAGCACTGGGCCCCAAAGCCCAGGCAAGGACTCAGCCCAAATCCCCACACTGGCAGAAAAGAGAGAGGACATAGGGAAACCCCAAGCACCAGGGGACCTCGGAGAAGGGGATGCAGGGCTTGGGCTCCCTTTAACCAGTACAGAAAGGCAGCCTGATGAAAATGAGAAGCCAGAGGAGAAGCTTTGGGAGAGAGAACCCCAAGGCTCCTGGAGATGGACCCACAGATGTCTTCTTGTAGATCCTCAGCAACACAGTTCCCAGTGTCACCCCCAGCTTAAGCCTCCAGAGCCTCCTAAAGAGGGCCCTGAGAGGGAAGAATCTGAGCATGACTTGCAGGGCCATCAAAGAAAGTTAAATGTCCTCCTCACACCTGCAAAGGTCCCTCAGGATTTCCACCCTGCGGTGGCCCAGGCTTCCCAAGACCAGCGTTTCCTGGGCCAACCAACTCCTCATAAGCCTTCTAAGGGCCAACCTTTGCAAAGCCACGTGTTTCAGGGGCAGGTGATGCCAGCCCATTCTCACAAGAGCCCCAGCCTTCCAGAGTCTGGCTTGATCAATAAGATGAAGCACTTTCTGCACTTTCTTGGTAGTCTCAACATCCAGCACAAAAATGCCATGACCAAAGGCAAAGGGCACGTAGACTCCATGTTCTCAACACCTGGAAAAGTGGCCAAAACCAAAAAAGAAAATGTTGAAAAGAGCCTGGCTCCAGCCAAAAGCCCCATGGAGAAAGCTAGGATTGACACACCGCTGAGGCAGTGTGTTTCCCATTTCCCAAACAATAAGCTCCGGCTTCGCTCCCAACTATATGGATCTGCCTCCATGCCGGGCCACCCCCACCACTGCCCTAGACATTGTCATGGAATGGCTATGCTCCCCAGTCAGATCACCCACCCTTACTCCCATCCCATTCCTCAAAGAGAACACTCAAAGTATTGACTAAGAATTTCTAAACTTCCAAATTTCTGTCTCCTTTCAATTGTTATCTCCACTGAAAAACAGGTGAAGCAGAGTACCACCTGAAATATACTCTGTATCTCTAAAGAGCTATCTGTGTCCTCCTTGTCCCCATTGTACTTTGTTAAAAGAAGGCCTGACTGAGGCTAAAAAGTCAATCCTGTCCATAGAAGAAGTTTAAACCCATTCATTCAGATGGGTCAACATTTCACAGCTTTACTCTCCCCAAACTGTAGATAAAGGAATAGGATAAGAAAGCCCCTTTGTATAAAGAACATTGAAGATAAAGTTAGGGAGAAATTCCAAAGGTAGGGAATGAATTTACCACCCACTGCCACCAAATTCTTTTGCATGTATCATATCTCTAGGGCCAAAGACAGTAGTCATAAAAGAAAATTTCTGAGACGTCCTATATTTAATTACAAAGACTGAAATTAGAGTGAAGAAGAGATCAGGAAAATTAATGTCATCCATTACAGACTAAATGAAATTACTATTCATGTTGAACCTTGATTTAAATCTCACCATCACTATGCTTGTTTACACATAAAATTTGGGAACTCTTAGCCCCAACCAATCTAGAAGCAATAAGTACTTCACCTTATAGAGTACTCTCTTACCCCAAAAGACTGACTGCTTCATCTTATCCCACCATGCCCATCTGTAATGATTACATTACAGTATTTTCTTTCTCCAAGTTTGTTTAAAAAGTGCACTTCATTCTGATCCAGTGGCCATTTTCCAACTGTAACCTGCCCTGCTGCCAGATATTGTCAAAACTTGTCCCAGGAAACTTGTTCCTTCATTTTCCGGCCAGCATGTGTAATGACTTGATAAGCCACCATCAAGCAGATACAATCTTAACTAAGGGATACTTTGGTATCTAGAGTTTCAGGTTAATGGTGTTTAGTTCATAAGGATAAATCAATATTAGTTGCAAGTAGTCTAGACAATGCATTGCATCAGTGTATGAGTACTGAATTGGGGCCCTGACAGGAGGAAAATAGCCAATGAGTTCTCCAAATATGGGTCCCAACAAAATAACCTTGGCAAGCATCTTGCATTCAACAATTAAATATTTAGTAGTTGCTATACACCAGTACCATGCCAAACACAACAATGAATAAGACACAGGCCCAGCCACAATGGAACTCCTGATCTCATGTAGTAGATGTCCTCACATGCCTAAATTGTCTAACCAACATTTAGAAGCCAACATTCACCTCAAACTACACAAAAATGAAGAAGTAAACTTGAAATTTCCCCCCAATAGTCTATATACATTAGCAAATCTGTTGTCTCTGCTTTCAAAACTGCACCCAGACTATGACCACTGCTTATACTTCACAGCTATCATGACTGCAGTAGCATCTGTATTTCATCCTGAGAGCATGCCTTCAACAGTCTTCCCTTGACACAGAGACATGATATCCTCCGAGTCCTGACTATATATAACAGACATAGATAGATGCAGGGAGATAAATACAGGTATATAAAATATGGTCTCATCAGCTAAGATCACTAAGAGTCTGAGTGTAAATGAAGGGAAAAAATCTAAGGATTGGGCCCTAGGGTACTTTAAGAAATTGGACAATACAGAAGGAAATCTAAGTAGTGGACACTGAAAACCAATAGCCCTTTGTGACATAGGAGGAAAACCAACAGAGTATTATACTGTAAAACAAAAAGGATTTTTAAAAACAAAGTTATTAACTTCAGGAGAAGCGTCAGCCAGCTAAGTAAGATGAGGACCATCTGATTCAGCCACAAAAGATTATTAATGAATTTGAGAACAACAGACTCAGGTATATGATTCAAATGAAGGTATATCTGGAGTATATTTAAAAGTGAATGGAGGGCTGGGGAGATGGCTCAGTAGAATAAGCGCTGGCCTGGCAAGTGCAAGGGTCTGAGTTCAATCCCTGGTTCTGCCAAAAACAAACAAACACAGCCAAACAGCTCAGCAGATTAAAGCACCTGCAAGCTGGGGGGTGGGGGCGGGATTCTCGGGGAGGGGGGTGTTGATCCCCAGGCCTGCAGTGCCGGCCCCGCCCCCAATTGAAACTGGGCGTGGTGACACATACCTGTAATTCCAGCTCTTGGGAGGCTGTAAACAGGCAGATCACTATGAGTCCGATCTAGTGATGAGAACCTGAACACCCTGTAGACCCTTCCCTAAAATACAAAAAAAGTGAACGGAAGGGGCTGGGACAAGAGACAGCAGGCCAGGGCACAGATGCATGCACCAGTAAACAGGACCAGTGGTTTGGAAAAGTCTCAAGCAGCAGTGAGAAAAGGGAGGTGAGAAAAGGGAGGTGAGCCAGCGCTGTACTCATGTGTGCACGTGTGCACACGTGCGCGCGCACACACACAGAACACAAGCAGTCAGGCTGCCGTTCTACATTAGAGGACTCTGGAAGAACTCAAGCATATCTGCTGGGACCAAATATCCGATCCAGAGGCCAAAATCAGCCCCAGCCCCAGCAAAATCCCACTGCAACCTTGGCTGGAGTACATAGCACATTTCTGGAATCCAGCTTAGACACTATCACAGAACTGTGGACACCAGAGGAATTTATTTTATTTTCTTTGCCTGATTAGTTATCCTTTTTCTGCCATTTGGGGTTTTTTGTTTTGATTTGGTTTGGTTTGGTTTGAGTTTTGCGGTTATTTTTATTTTACTTATTTTCACTATTTAGGTTTCTTTCTTTGTTTTTTTCCCCTACTTTTCTCTTTCCTCAAGTATCTCTTGATTTTATTTCATGTGAGTTAACATTGGCTCTTCTCTTTCGGGTGCACCAGTACTCCTTTGCTTTCTCTGTCTTTCTCTCCTGTGTCCTCCAACTTCCAAACACTTGGGTGATCATCCTTTGCCCTCTAGCCTTGCTCCTACTATATTTGATCTCATTCATCTCTTTATCTGTTCCTCTTAAATCTCCCCTCACCACAACAGGGTAAAATCAATCCACTATGAGGAAAACCATTGTATACATGTTTCCACTAGCCGTGGGCATAGGTACAAAAATGTCTCCTGCTTGGGTAGTCACAGTCAACTTATCCTAGGAATTGCTGAGTTTCTCTTGTAATTGGAGCTGTCAGCCTATTTTAATATTCTGGCCTCATGATTTGCTCCAAGCTTTATGACAGGTCTAAAGAACTTTAGATTCTTAGGGCTGTTTTAGCTCCTGGAAAAGCACAAGGGTAGGGGCAGAAAAAGAGAGGAGAGAGAGAAAGTAAAAGACAATACCAGTTCCAACAAACAATAGACCAAGTTAACCTGTAAAATAGTCTTGGAATAAACACTTTTAAATGATCAATATGACTACATGCAGAGTTGCACTGAATCTGACTTGGATTAAGACACAAAGGGAACTGTACTTCTCACTACTGGGACCAAGTATCTGATACCTACAACTTAGAGGAGAGATTTAATTTGGCCCATGGTCAGAGGCTTCAGGCTAGGCTCAGCTAGTTTCGGGCAGAAACTTCATGGTAGAACTGGTAACCAGGAAATAGAGAAAGGAATAGCACCAGAGAGAAATATACCCTCCAAAGGAAGATCCCCAGGGGACCACCTCCAAGTAGATCCCACTCCTAACAGCATAATCAGTTATGCCTGTCAACGGACTAATCCACTGAGTATAGCACCCCGTGATCCAATCTCCTCTCCAGGAGTCACTTAGTCCATTCAAGTTAACAAAATCACCTGCCACAGGAACAGATACAAGACAAAGGCAGAGATGCCAAACAGTGTCATTTTAGTCACCCTCATATATCTGTAGGTCTGAGTCAAGAACCAGTGTTTTCAGCAAAAGATTTTACTAAGTAATCTAGGCAACTATTAGCATAACCCACAGCATACTGTTTGCAGCATAGCTAGTGGGAAACTAAAAATGTATTGCCCAGGGGCCAGGGAGATGGCTCAGTGGAATAAGTGCTTCCCTGGCAAGCACAAGGGCCTGAGTTCAATCCCTAGTTCCGCAAAAAAAAACAAAACAAAACAAAAATGTATTGCCCAGATATGTCACCTCCAAAATTGTGGTTTTTAAGTCTGCTAAGAACAAATGAAGCTAGGTTTACTTGGGTTTCCCCCCAAACACACACACACACACACACACACACACCTAGTAACAATTCCCCCATTTAGTCTGCTGCTGTGGCTACCGGAACTTCAGGATGAGTTTGTTGAAAGGGGCACATGAGTAACATGCCATGCTACAAAGGGTGGCACCTTACTATCCCCACAAGCCCCCTCTGTTGTCCCAGTTTTTGTCCCACTGTAGTGATCCCTGTCTTGGTAGCAAGTATCAAGGATTCCTTCTAGGAGTTTTGTTCAAGTAAAGGTGCAGAAATATGGGGTAAAAGTGTGAGAGAGGTTTCTTCTAAAAGTCTGGCCACATAGAGGATGAATGTTTATGGAGAAGATGTAGTTGAGAGGGATAAATTAAGGATGCAGGAGAACAAGAGAATAACTACTAAAACAAAAAACAAAAAAAAAAACAAAAAAACAAAAAAACTGTGGAGCAGAATAAGGTAAGGGATAGGAACAAGTCCCCAATTTGAGGTACCAGCTTTGGCTAAAGCACAGACACTTTATTCATGTAAGTAGGAAGAATGCTATGTGAATAAAGCAGCACTTTATGGATCCAAAGTAGAAAGTTTTCTCCCACAATCAGAGCACAAAGAAAGACTTAGAAGAATGACAGGATTAGAAGGGACCCAGGCTTTATGGAGGAGAGGACAAGATGGAAAGTTAAAGCAAAGAAAAGTACAGGTGGGCAGTTTATTTTGTGGCCTATGGAGTTAGTGGCAGTGTGAGATCCCAAACGGGCTGAAGTCCCAGTTGTGACAAAAGCAAGTGAACACTAGAGTAGCAACCCAAAGAAAGCTCTGTGTGGAGCCTGAGCAAGAGCATGGGGCCAGACACAGAGCACGGGAACCAGGTGAGATAACGGTGGAAGAAGCAAACTGGGAAGCAAGAA